GATGGCCATGCCACAATCCCTTCTCCTTCATTCTCTTCTTGGGATCTTAGGCATGCACACGTACGTTCCCGGCATGAGTTTAAGCCACTGGGTCCAGGACTCAAACTGGTATTGACTACGTGGGAGTCCAGTGAGGTAGCCATTCCGCCAACTGCTGGTCCCAATCAGTAACAATTTTAAGAAATAAACAAATAAGGAGAGAAGGTGTGAGGATTATAACTGTATTTATAAATGATCCTTGTAGTTTTGGGGTAGTTAAGATAAGCATTCCTTTGTGTCATATGTTGTCGGTTCTGGATAGATTTACTGAAGTGTTAGGAAGAAAGCACCTTTAGTATTTACTCATCTTGTGGTTGCATGCAGTAGGATCATAGGAAAGGAGCCAATTCAGAAATGTGTTTGGATTAAAAAGCTGATTATGAGAATCTGCTAGGGAAAGTAAGACTAAAAAAGAACAAATACTGACCATCCAATGGCATGGTGGTTAAGGAGGCTGGAACCCACATGGCTAACTGCATGGTTCAAGTTCCAGACATGGTGGCTTGAAAAACACACTGAACACTGTATGTGCGTGCTCCAAATCACAAGATAAGAGTAAAGAAGGGTTGTAGTGCGACTATCTTCCCTGGGGGTGATTTCTCACTTTCCATCTGTCTGTCTCTCTTCAGCAAGCACATACACCCTATGGCAAAAATCTAAAATAACAACAATAAAAAGAGATATATCTTATATATGAAAATGATTATAAATTATCATGAATTAATGGAGGCTGCTATAAATAGATTTATACTGTAAATACTGATTAGATTATATATATATTTTGTTTTCTATTAAGAAGAAAAGGCTTAGATTTTAAAACATCAAAATACTCAATTGGATGTTTGTTCCACACTGAATGTGTTGGTGTTTATCAAATTCATCTAACTCACATATTGAGATATAGGTCATATGTAGTTTTTTGAATCTGTCATATGTGGGGCTGTTGGGAAAACTATAGATTTTTGGGACCAGTATAACATGATTATGGGGATACTGCAAAAATCTGTGGGCTGTTTAAATGTAGATTTACTGAGCAAAACTATACTTAGGGGCTTCATAGTGATATGCTTTGGAAGGTTATTAATGTTCTTAATTGATGTGAAGGTCATGATCAAACAATTCCATTGGAGTGACTGAAAGTGTCATGATTCCAGATGTATCAGACAATTACTGAACAACGAATTCTGCTGTCTTAAGTTATAGGCCCTATATTAGTTTCCCAGGATTTCCATAAAAGTACTATAAACTGGATTGATTAAAATGTATTATTTCACAGTTCTGAAGGTGGGAAGTCTAAAATCAAGTTTCCAACAGAGGTGGTTCCTCCTGACAGTTGTGTGGAAGAGTAGATACCAGACCTCTCTCCTGTTGCTGTTTTGTTGGCAATCACTGGTGGTCCCTGGTTTGAAGACCTCACACCTAATCTCTTACTTCATGTTCAGAAGATGTTTTTGCTATAGAGTGATTGTTTGTGTACCCTCCAAATGTGGAAACCCAATCTTCAATGTGCAGATAAAATGGAGGTGGCATCTTTGCAAAGCCCTCATGGATAAGATTAGTGCCCTCATGAAAGAAACTCCAGAGAGCTCCCTCATTCTTTCTGCCATGTCAGTACTCAGAAAGCAGTTAAAGCACCCTGACAAACTAAGATAGTTCTCCCTGCATGCCTATGTTTAAGTTTTCCCTTTTTAAAAGGATACCAGTCATTTGGATTAAGGACCCACCTTTCTCTAGTCTGATCTCAACTTCTTAATTATGACTTCAATGACCCTGCTGACATGTTGCTGCTGTAACATGCTGATTTGAATGTTTCTGAGGAGAGCTTAGAGGATAGAATGCAGAGCTTTCCTAGGGTAAAATAAAGAGAACTCTTTGCTGATACTGACTTTAATACGCTATTCAATTTCATTTGTTTCCTGCATGAGGGTAAGCTTGAAGTGTAGAATGTATTTCACATCTGGTATTCCATTTTTCAGGAAAACAAATAAGGATGAATTATATTTTTACTTACATGGAATGCCATGTAAATAATGCCATGTTTTTCTTCTGTTTTTGTTTCAGAAACCTCCCTAAAAATGGTTTTCTTACATCATTTTTAAAGATCTTGGCTTACATACCATTGATGTTTGAGCATATTGATCACGTCACTGATTAAAATAACTATTGAAAAGTTTACTGTTAAAATATCAGACATTAAAATAGTTATAATGTTGAATAGTATTGATAAGTGACCCTAAGATTAATGCTTTCCAAAACCATATAAAGCAGTCTTTTAAAAATTTATAATACCTCACGAAACACTGGTTTTAATTTACTTCTCCTTGAAGGACCTCTCTGTGAATATTTGCATTGTCAGCAGCTTAAATTGACCACAGAAATGATAACTAAATAATTTAGGGAATTGTAAGATGATTTAGGCATTTAAGATGTGTATAACATAATTAAAACCAAACTTTAGGGGGGCTAAGGCCATACTGTAGTTGGATATTCTGCAGCTGAGGCCACTGCCTAAGTTATATGAAGGCATATGTTCAATTTACAGTTGTAATGAGGAACACGGGATGTTTTGATTCTCCATTTGCTGTGCTCATCTCTAGAGGATGCAATTGCCTATGTAACAAATGAACATAGGCTCTTTTGTGGAGGATAATAAAAATGAGTAAGATAATACATGCCACATGCATGTGTGGTTGGCATATGGCTTTTCTCTGAGTATGGAATTGTTGCCTTTAGCAGCTATCATGGAGCAGGCTCATGGAAATGTACATTATTAGTCGCTTTGAAAGGAATGAGACCCAATTCCTTTGATCACATTAGCTTGACCATGGTTATTCCATTTTAAGTAATACATGGTGTTACAAGGTGTTTTTAATAGATTATTAATTTTTAAAAGTGGATCGTGTTTTATTTTTTCTAATCAGCAAAAGGAGGAGGAAATATAGGTTATAAAGTTTTGTTTTGAGGCAGGTTCAATGGCCTACTGGTGAAGGGAGCCAGATCCCACATAGCTGACCATGTGGTTCAAATCTGAAACCTGGTGACTTGGAAAACACACAAGGCACATGTAGGTACATGCCCAAATCCCAACAGAATGGAGAAATGGAAGAGAAGGGATTGTGATGTAATCATGACCCATGGTGGAGAGGCTTTCTCCCTCTCTCTTTGTGCCTTTCTGTTTCTCTCTGGTGAATGCAAGTGCCTTCTGGTAAAAATTTTTTAAAAGTTGTTTGTCTCATGTTGAATGTATAAAACGTACAAAACATCATAAAAATCAGGAATTTATTTTTCATCTTTAAAAATGCTACAATTTAAAGAAAAGAATAGAGTTGATGTTTCATTTTGTTCCCTCTATGTGTTGATATACTTACAAGCACTAGTATATAGTCTTGGTATAAACTTAAAGAAATATTTATAACCTCATGTTGTTATGCAGGTTGATATTTAATGGGATATTTACAAATAGCTTCGTATTCATTGAAAACTTGCATTCATCTCAGTGATCTCTTCTAAAAAGAGTTTGCAGAACCAGTGAGTCTGGCTATATTCAGGGGTCTATGCTTGGCTTAAAAAAATCCCAAACAGAACAAGATGGAAACAATCTTTCCATCTTAATAAATAAATGGAAGAACAAAATCTTGAAACCCCTCTCTGATTTGACAAGTAGGCGAAAAAGAATAATTTGAATTGGTGAAAAATACTAAATAAAAAAGATATTAAGTCTAGTCTCATTTATATATGTAGCTAACCACTGTTTTGTTTTGCACCTGCCTAGCAGTTCTCTTTCCTTGGTGTACTGTTCTTCCCTAGTTTCAAAGGAGTAGGCTGCACCTTGCTTCTCTGTGATCAGATGACTAGAAATTGGCCAATCACAATGCCCAAACCCCCCCATTCTGTTGACTGACCTAGAGGTTGGTGTGTTATCCAAATTTGGCCAAGAAGACGCCAAATGTAGGATATTTTCATCTTTGAATCTTGAAAACAAGAAGTTTTGGTTTTAAGTTTTGGAGTTGGAAAGAAGTAAATTTGAAATAAGCAGTATCTGATGAAATAGAGCCACTCAGAGATAGAGGAAATGAGTGTATGAGAGGAAGCAGATCTCAGTAGCTTCATTTTCCCATTCTGGTAGAGAATGAAGTTGCCTCTTTTTTTTTTTTTTTTTTTTTTTTTCCCCCTAGTAGCCAGTCAAGAAATGCCTCTTTAATATTTTTTTCTTACAGCTTAGTTTGAGTTGCAGAAGTCCTGCCCAACAAAATAGATAACAGGAACTCTTAATGAACATGGTATTTGTTTGCCTATAAAAATATATATACTACTTGTAATGTGCTAGATATGTTCTCTTAATTTCAAGCTTCCTCCTATATCGTTATTTTGACAAATTTTGGACCAGTTAAAGCCCTCATTGATGTAAAATGGTAAATTTCCCTTGCTGAATAATCATAAACCCTGAAATAACAACATCTAAATGATCAGAACTATGCTGCATCAATGCTGATCCATTCTGATTGTATCTCCGTACTTGTTCGGATCCTAGGACCCAATTGCAGTATGATACTTTTTTTTTTTTTTAATTTCTACTTTTCAAGTCAAAATCATTGGTGTGTACCATTCCCCTCAAATCAGATTTTGCAGTCTCCTGGCTTTCTTCCAAAAGTCTTTCATTGTTTCATAAGCCATTCTTGTTTTTAATTCATTCTTCTTTATCCACTGTGTAAACTAGGTGGACCAGAATACTTAGGAAAAATCGAAAGCATTTGGTTGTTATTAGAGTAAGGATCGCTGACTCACACATGAAAAACATTAAAGAAACCTTACAAATGTTTGAGTAATTTTTTCTTCTGTTGTTGTCGTTTGGGACTGTGGGGCGTTTCACCACATCCTGCCATACACATAGCACTCAAGTGTCTCTCTTTATTACCAGGTAGAGTTTTAGGCTAAGAAAACAAACAAGAACAATATTTTTCTTCTCTTTTCCCAACATTTTTATTGTTTTTATTTAAATGTAACATACTATACACTGTTCAGCCTTTTTGGGAGGTAGGAGGAGGGAGTGATTCTATATCTTCACGAGGAGTCTCCTCAGAACCAGCAATCGTATGGACACATCTGTGGCGGATGCTCCTTGCCTTGGTGGGTTGGAGCCCACACTTCCCACAGAGGTATAACTCCCAAAATATATATATTTTTTTAAACCTACAACAGTCAGGGTTAGAACCGCTTTTCCTTCAGTAGTTGCAAGGCGACCCAAATTCTATCTTAATATCGAAGACACTAGTTTTAAATGTAGGAAAATCGTATTACTCCTTATAGAACCGCTTCTGTTTTTATCTCTGTTGGGGTATGTGTGAGGTGGGTTGGGAGGAGGGAGAGATGTTTTCTATTTTGGGCCTCTGTCAGCTTTGATACATTTTGCTAGAAGCTGTTTTAATGTGTTGAGTACTATAATGATGACTGTTTACACATAGTCTCTTTGGTAATCTAAAGGGCTATGTGAAATAAGAATCCAGTTTGTGCCCTATTTGCTGTTACTGTGGTCATCTAATACTGTATTTATCTCACCAAACATTTCCTTTCAGTTGTGGGTGGTCCATGCTCATGTGTCAGGTGCAATTATTATTTTAAAATAAAAGAAAAAAGATATCTAGCTTTCATAGGAATGTGTTACATTATAGCGCTCAGACTCAGTACCAATTCAATTTTACCAAACAGATTCAAACCACAGAAATTAAGCATTTTTGCCATAGGGCGGGTGCCACCACGCCCCAGAAATTAAGCATTTTTAGAATCCCATTTGTCAAAAAGAAAGTTGGAAGCAAAGTATTGGGAAATGCAACTTTAGTCATACACCAAAACGCTGTGCCTCAAGTGCATTTCTTACAAAATACAACTTTGCCGAGGAATAAGAAAAATATGACCTTTTAGGGGGATACTTTCTTGGAAAATTTCTTAATAAAGCTAACTTTTAAATAAGAAATTAATTGGAAATGCTGGGTAAGCATTGACACAAATAAGTTATAAGAGGATCACAAAACACCAGCCTTTCTAGAGGTTAAACTTTAGTAAAAAGACACAGGGAGGGAGTCTATTCCTTGTACCAAAATACTGTGTCCAAACAATAAAAATAAACAGACTTTTTCAAAACAAGAATATGAAGATAAAACTGCAGCATCAATATAATCTTATAGTTATCACTTAAAGTATTTAGAATGAATAATATCTTTCTACATTTTTTTAAAATCACTACAGACACTGCAAATAAGGCTTATGTATTTATTTAGTGGAATAAATGTGACGATGACTGGTAAACTCTTATGTACTGTTTTCTATATCTGCTCTAACAAAATGAATTTCAAAATGGTTACATTATAGAACCTTCTTAAGCTCTTTAAATTTACAGAAAATAAGTTTTATTTGGTTTTGTAAAGACTAGTTCACATAGCTTGAACAGTTTTCAGTATATGGTTACACATATACTAGAATATATTGCTCAGTTTAAGCCCCTGGGAGAGTTACACTTACCAGATTTCTTGATAACTTTTTAGGAAGAAGTGTTATGTAGGACTTACAAAGGCTTCTTATATATTCAGACAGCCTCTTCGTCATTTACCACTGTGACATAGTAAGCAGTCATTAGTAAATAATGAGGCATGGCTACTAAATGTATTAGACAGTTAATTTTCCTTCTTTTTGGAGGTATATTCTTAGAGACTACTTAATGCACTAAAAAGAATTTGGCCTTCTGGTCTACTTCATAAGAATAGAAGCCTCAGGAGTAGTGTGTTTTCAAATGGACTGGCAGAAATCTCTCACTCAGGCCATGGCACAGTACTGCCATACTTAATGTGGATGTTTCTTATTGTAGAAGCGCAAATTTAGTCAACTGATAGCGCATGGGGCACTCATACTGTTTCCCTATCCCATCTCCTAATTTTGAAGTGTTTGCCAAGTTTTAAAAACACTTTGTCATGAACATGCATGTGGTGTGCTAAAGAAAAAGAAGAGGTAAAGCAGAGGACAGCTGCTGAAGATACTCTTTAAAACCCCAAAAGATATTTAACATCCTATTAAATAAATAACTTAGAAAGAAATAGAAAAGGATGAAGGCAGAATGCACAAGCATACCATACTATTTGTATTGTTAGAACAGTTTCACACTAACATGTTTATATTTTTTAAATTCTATCCAATTCTTCCATGATGCTACACCCAAAGCTCCTTTGGTTGTGCATATGATATGACCCAAGTGCTTTCCAGTAAATGCTTGTGTGTCTTCCTGCTCATTGAATCATTAAGCTTGAATGAGCAATGAAAGTCTTTGATATGAGTTCGTATTCCATAAATAACTTTCCCAAAGATCATTCAACAGATTGTTCCATGTCCTTTAAGTTCTATCTCAGAGGTTCCAAAACCTAAACAAAAGCTTAACAAAATAACCCAGCCATAGTGTTGTTCGCTTGGGAATAACTTCTATCCCGTTTGATCTGCTTATATCTTGATTATAAGGCATGACACAGAACTAACGAAAAGAACATCATATGTCAGCAGTGAATACAAAAACCTTCAATGACTTCGTTTCTTTTAAGCAAGCAGTTATCTGCAATGTGTCTTTGTCTTCTGAGCTACTGTCTTCTTGAAGAACGCCATCTACTCCTGGCAAAGCAGCCTTTGTTTCTACTGCATCCTCAAATGTTGTCTTCCTCTATGAGTGTACCACCATTGGAAGAAAGTGAGCTGAGGTGTTTTTCCTTCTTGTTTTCTGTCCTCTCCTTGGGGCTCCTTTGCCATTCAAGGCCACATACATTTGCCTCCCGTTGTGCTGCCAGTTAAAAGATGCATAGGTATTGTATCCATTTTCCTCTATCCTCTCCTTCAGCTTACAGTCAGTGTTAAATTCTTTCTGCAAAAGAAAAACATAACCTTTTATTCCTGTGGTGATGGTGATGATACATGATTTTATTTAATGCAAACTCCCTAGAGAACACAAATTCAAGGGTTTTGTTTCCAGACACCGGTTTGCATGTAAGTTGTGCATTTGATACATAATAACAGGGGAGCTAAACTCTAAACCAGGAACCTTACTCTATGTCTGGAAAGCACATGATCCATTTTGATTATCACAGTCACATACTAAGGCTCTTTTAAAACGCTGGTGTGCTTTGAATACCACATGGTTTAAGTGCCTGGAATGGTTGTCAAGAAGTAGACATTCCACTAACAGTATTTGTGATGAGTCAATAATAAGCAATACTGCCATAATTCTTATTTCATAGTGATAATCGGAATTCCCATGGGGAAAACAGAATTATGCTTATCCAGTTTATACACTTTACCTGCATACCCACAATAAATATACACACATTCTAAGAAAGCAGATCTTATAATAAAAACACAATTGTCTATAAAACTAAGAAAGAAGAAAGTATTCTTTTCCAATTATCTTCCCAGTTTTACTAAATTATTTGGAACTTTCCATTACTGGGAATTTTGATAGATTTTGCTATGAACTTTAGGAATGTTAAACACTAGGACATGGAGCCAACAGGTGGCATGATAGTTCAGGTGCTGGGCTCCCCCTATGGCCAACTGTGGTTTGAGTCCTGGACCTGACAGCCTGAAAATCATGCCAGGCACATTTGCACACATGCCCCAAATCCCAGGAGAAAGATGGAGAAGAAGGGATTGTAGCATGGTCATCCTCCATGGGGGATGATTTCTCACTTTCCCTCTCATTGTCTCTCTCTCCGGTGAGCACATACGTTCTATGGCAAAAGCCTTAAAAAACAAACAAACAAACAACAACAAAAAAAACTAGGACATGAAGTGCCTTGTTTTGTGAATTGCCATACCAAAATGATTAGAAACAGTTACCAGCTACATTGTCTACGCTTAAAGACTGATCCAGCCATAGGTGACAAAGTAGTTTTAAGGAGATCTTTGAGACAAAATCTATGCATTCACTACACAAATCAAGGATCTTCCTCTGGAATTAATAACGAAGAGGAAGTACCTCAATAATCTCAGGGTCTGGCTTCAGAATTTTCCCTATTCTTTTATACCCATGCTAAAGTAGTTAAAAAGCCAAGGAACTGGGTGAGGTTTTTGCTCCTCTGGTTCTACATTTTCTGTCCAAAACCAGGGCATGTGGCTATACTTCAGCTGAGGACTCCACCTTGGGACTTTGAAATTTTTACTTTTTTTTTTTTTAATTCCTGAGGTGGGTATATTTAAATATCCAGGTTTGTGAGGAAAAAATCATAATTTTGAACATTATCAAAACCATCACCAGCAAGCATACTTTATGTTAATGTTTCCAGTTTAAGCTTCCTTTCTTTGAATTATAGTCCTAAATGCTTCACTTGTGTAAACTCATCTATAAATTTAACATTCAAATGATGACTTATTTAGTTAAAAGTAAGAAGAATAGGTGAGTTATTATGACTATTTTATGACTATTGAATTATTTTGTATTGCTAGAAGGCAGGTACACATGCTGGAGAGAGAAAGAGAGCATTCCACCAGGGGGCACGGTCATACCCACATCCTTTCATCTCTCTTTATCCCCTCAGGATTTTGCCTCCCTCCTGCCATGTGAGCTAGGGGTGTTTTTTTGTTTGTTTTTTGTTTGTTTGTTTGTTTGTTTCAGCTGTGAGGCCTGGGATTCGAAACTTGATAGGCCATGTTTCCATGAAGAGCACTTAACCACTGCAGAGCTGGCCTAAAAAGGTACATTATTTAAGGTAATAATTTTAATAAAACAAAAAAATCTGCATTAGAAATTAATTTAAATCCTTAGTATGGATTTTTTTTCTCTCTTTACCCTAGTCCATCAAAACTATATGGTTTTCAAAGCAGAGATGACTTTTTTTTTTTAACATAGACAACTATATTCATTTCAAGAAAGGAGGTGCTGTTTAGAGAACTGAGTTTGTTTCAGGTGATTTTTGCATATTAGACAAAACCTATATAGCAAAGTAGGAGTGCATGCTTAGTTAATTTTCCTTCCAAAATGAATTTATAAAGTTTCTTAAAGTGAAGTATATCTGTAGCAGCCACCTCATCTTAGGTGTGTTTAATATTTAACTTAAATACATCAGAATCTCTGGACAAGGGGCCAAGGAATTTATGTTGTTCACAGGAGCTAGGTGAATCATAGGTATTAATGCTTTTTTTTAAAAACAAAAGTCTAGACTAAAATGAGATCTCAAAAGCAAGGTTTGGTAGTTGAAGCAAAGGCTTTAATTTTTTTCAGCTAACTGGGAATTTTCTTTAGTACTTAAATAATGCTCTATGAGCACCTATTCTATTTAATTTAATTTTATTTATTAAATTCTATTAATAAGAAGAAAATATAGAATAAAATAGATGCACTGTTCAGATAATGAATTATTAAAACATAAGGAGGATACATATTTCCCAAAAAGAAATACAGGAACGTATTCAAGAGAGAATAGCTATAGAGTTGGTTTGATCAATCACTGTGGATATTTGCCTAATTGAGATTTTTTTTAAATAAAGGGTTAGGAATCAACGGAAGTTATATGAAAAAGAAATGAAGATAGAAATTACAAGAGTTGTTCCCTAGCATGCAGAAATATACTCAGTATGTACTCATGAATTTTGATAGTGTACTGTCTGGAAGCAAAATAGTTACTTCTATACTATTCTGAACAGGATATTCAATTAGAATAGACTTTTCATTTAAAATGAATAAGCCATGACTTTTCACTTTTCCTGACAATAACACAAAATTACAAAAATAAAATACTATGGTTGGAGAACGGATTTCTTCTTGAGACAGGCTGAAAGTGGAAATCATATTCTTTAATGGACAGAGCTTTCAGGGCAGGTGGTTAGGTTTATGCATGGCATAACTGTGCTATGTATGGGGCTAAGTGCCAAACATAAAGAAGGAGATGAGGCTGGGCCTGATCTCTTGAAGGATTCCATTTTTTGGTAAAAGGTGGTCAACAAAAGACACATTAATGAGAAAACTATCAGATAAATTTCATTGCAGATTATTAAATAGGGTGATGCGATAGCCAATGCACATCTGCTTTAGACAAAGATGGAATAAATTCATTCACAGAGCTTAGAGTTCAAGAAGCAGTGTAAGTACAGTGCATGAGTTGTCTTTGGGGAAGAAGAAAAAGTGAAGAAATAGGAAAAGTATTAAATATTTAATTAAATATTTTCATTTGAAAGTTATCCATTTCTCCTTGATATCATATTTTTAAATAAGCATATATATATTTATTTTTGTTTTCTAATCATTTATTTATTTTTACATTTTCCCACATTTACTTTACATATCAAAAAATTTTTGCTCATACTCCGTACTTCCTAACAGTTACTAAACGACTTTCAAAATTTCAAAAACACTGAATTTTAAAGGTAATGTTTGAAATATTTGTTTTCATTTTATTTGTTACTCTATAACAGAGACAGTATGGTTTTAAAAAAATTTTTTTTGGAGTTTTTTGCTATAGGGTGCATGCACTCACTAGAAAGACAGAGATACAGAGAGACAAAGATCAAGAAATCACCTCCGGGGGGGATGGCAACGCCGCAATCCCTTCTCCTCCTTTCTCTTCGTGGAATCTTGGGCACACGCACACACTTGCCTGGCGTGAGTTTAAGCCACTGGATCCAGGAATCGAACCATGGTCGACTACATGGGAGTCCAGTGACATAGCCACTACATTAACTGCTGGTCCCATGATTTTAAATATTTTTGAGAAAATATCTGGATGTCAACTACTCAAACTGTTGAAAAGCAAACACCCAGCACACAATTCACACATAAACCTTTTCAATTCACCCCTGCCTACCGCTAGCAAAGATCAGTCTCTTTTTATTCCTTCAAAGTCTTCCTCAAAATAATTCTCTGGCTGCGGCTGCTCTTTTGCAATTGCTACTGACTACAATGTGGGACTGGAAAATAAGTATATTTTATCAATTAAAATTATTTTAATATTTATTCCAATTCAAATGTATTTACATTTTCCTTCTTAGTCTAAGTTAGTGTTATTTGGCTTTATGTCTCTTCAAAGAATATACGCCAGATCCTCTTACCCAGTAACACTGACATTATACATAAAGGAGGGACCAGGGTTATTTAACAAGAAGAAAAGCAAAACCTCAGAAGTGATGGTTTAAGGGTTAGGTGGTGAACAGTGGTAGCACAACTGAATTTACATGCGAGAGGTTCTGAGTTCTCATCCTGGCACTTCCCTGAGTATTCCGGGCATGTGTTTGCCTGTGATTCAGGACTGAGGTGTGATTATTCTGTTTGTCTGTCTGCCTTATGGTAGAAATAGATCAATTTAAAAAGAAAAAAAACAGTTCTATTCCTCTTCTAGGCTCATAATTGGAGGCTTACTCTTCTCAGCTCATTATCTCCATGCATAATGGAGAAATTTAACTAAAATTTCTCTGACTCCCATGCAGAAAGCATTTACTCTAGCTGAAGAGACAACCCAAAATGTGCCCGACTGTCCAATTAAAAGTCGACCTAATGTGAATTAAACCCAAGGCAATTTTATATGTAGGCCAGGGGTTATTATGCTATGATTACTAAAACCAGCACCATTAAGAACACCTGGTACCATGTAAGAAATGCAAATTCTTAAAGCCGACCGCAGACTTTCTGAGTCAGAAAATCCAGCCGTGAATATCATGACTCCACTTTTAAATAAGCCCCCTTCTTCATTCTGATCTGTACTCAAGTTTGAGAATTACTAGCTCTAGGCAGTCACTAAAATCACCTTTATGCTAATCAACAAAATAAATTTATTTACACATTTAAAGTGAAATTCTTTTTAATCATAAGAAAAACATAAAAATGTCAAAAAGCTCTGGTTAAGGAAAAAAATGAGATCATTTAGAAGATCACGGGTTTTATTACTGTCATAGATATTGTCATTATGTTATCCAAAAAAAAAAAATTAAGATCAAGTTTATAGATGTTTTTAATATACTCCCCCTAGAGTGGGATCCAAAAAAGAAAAAAATAAATAAATTCAGTTAGTATCCTCTTGATATAGCTCTGACTGACACAATAGAATGCATCCACATTAAAAATTAATCTACTATTGCCATCATAAAAATGGTAATTAAGAAATTAATTCATAACTGGTCCTTTTTTTTTTTCTATAGGGCACGTGCACTTACTGAAGAAACAGAAAATGAGAAATCACTTCCAGGGAAAGATGTTGTACTCAATCCTTTCTCCTCCATTCTCCTCTCAGGATTTTGGGCACACACAGACACAGACATGGTGTGAGGTTCAAGTCCCTGTGTCCAGGGCTTGAACCACTGTTGACTATGTGAGAGTCCAGCAAAGTAATCATTATGCCATATGCTGGTTCCTGGTCTTTCTTTTTATTTAACAATTAATTGTTCTATAATGTCTTCACATTTGTGTACATTTTCTTCTATATATAGCCACAAATTATTTGATGTCAAGGCCTATTTTCTATATTTATTTATGGTTCTTTGATATGTCAAACAACATCTGCATATATTAAATATTTATGTGATTGACTAACTTATTTCTTCCAAAAATCTGCATGGGGTAAATTATGGCACTGATTGTATTTTAATTATAATTATAAAATAAATACTTGTTATTTTAAGTAACATATTAGACTAGAAATTGGTCTGAATGAGTTTGATCTAAGGTTACAGAGGTGATACTCAAATACTTAACAGTTGGTATGGAACACACATATGGCTGTCTTAAAGTGGTGGCAGGATGCCAATGTTGCAACAAATTGTATATATTATATATGATAGGTAATATCATATTTACATATAAATAATTTATAATAATAAATATACACACACATAAAATGTTCAGGAATAATTTAAATCAGTGACTTGTTTAGGTAAATGAGAATCTACAGTGGATTGAATAGCACATGAAATAATAAAGTTTTTATATGTTCCCCATTTCAGATTTTAGCAAAATACAAAACATCTGAGCCCCTGTCTTATCTTCATCTGTAACACAAATAGCATATCATTTTCTACTCAATTCTGAGATCTTTGTTTTTAATGATTCTTCTCCAAGTTGTCTGCAGCTCCCATGCCAATCTGACCAGAGGTTTCTGTGAGAGTCTGTTAGCAGTTCGGAACATTCACAGACAAATGCCAGCAACATCCTCTGTGGTAGACTAATGGGTGAACAACAGAGGCCATTAGAGTGTTGGAGGAGCTGAGTTGCTAGCCCTTGAAACCCTGTTGACCAGCCACTGGGGCTCCGTTTATTAGCAAAAGAATGATAACAAAGCTATTCAGTGTCTGGAGGACACATTATAAAACCATGTCTTGATTTACTGCAGTGGATTTTGAAAACAAAAGCAGAACACTTACAGAGCCATAGAGTTTCCCCTTCTTGTTCATGGCTAAGTAGTAGTTGCTATTAATGGCTTTGACAGCAACAACCCCGATTTCCACTGATGTTATCTCCAGGATACCTAAAACATACAATGAAAACAGGCTAAATATGAAGAGTCACAAATTCAGTAGAAGGAAAGTAAAATCAAAAGAAACAACTGAGTTTTTCTTTCTTTCTGATGTTTCTAAAAACAATTTTTTTAAGACAATTGGAGAAAAAATACCCAACCTCTTTTATATTATCTAAAACACCAACAAATAATTCTAGCAAATATCTGGAAAAAAGTCATAAGGCATTGCAAGAAGTGTCCTCCATTTTACTCTGAGCATGTATAGGAAAATATTGTTTTAATTAAAATGCTTCCTTTGCTAACTCTGCATTTTCAAGCCCATAAATATTGAAACAACTTTACTCATCTTAGCCTAGGTTTCACGAAAATTTATCAGAGCACACATCTGTACTGTGGTATTAAATTAAATCTATAGCATATGTCAATAATATGCCAGATTGACCTCAATCTGTAAAAACAGTGGTAAACTATTTCTTCTTTGTAGGACACTTAGATAAGCTAAATCTCTTGGCTGCATTTAACTGGTAAAATCATTTTTGGAAAATGTGTTGACATTTGAGACAGAGAGAGACTAAATCCAACAGCCACACTGCATTTAAAATAGCAGAATCACTGCCATGGGTTGAGGGACAATCTATCAATTATTGTAAAGACTTTTTTATCCAAGAAAGAATGAAAAACTGAGACTCCTTTCTTTTAATATGTAACTTTCGATTGGTGGAATTGAAGATTATTTTCTCTGAAAAGTTCATAGCTTGATATATAGAAATTTTATTTATTTGTTTGTTTTTAGGTTTTTGATTGCCCTTGCTGGAGAGAGACAGAGGGAAAGTGAGAAATCACCTCCCAGGGAGGATACCCACACAGCAGTCCCTTCTCCTTCATTCTCCTTTCAGGATCAAGCACACACACACACTTGTGCCCAGCACATGTGATTTTCAAAGCTTCTAGGTTGGGACTCAAACTATGGTCTACAATGTGGGAGTCTGCACCATCTGCTTGCCCCTAAAACTAATTCATATTTTATAACTTTTAGGAAAGCTTGATCAAGATAGAGAAGTAGCACTGTGACTAGCATGTAGCCTCTAGAATTAGAGTGCCTGGACTTGACTCCTGGCTCTCCGTTTACTAGTATATAACCACAAGAGAAGTCACCAAGATGCCTATGGCCTAATTTCATTATAAAATGGGCAACATAAAAGAGCATCTCCCTCATAATCTTGTGACTATTAGATAGAATTGGACAGGGACCAGCAGGTGGCATAATGGTTACATTGTTAGACTCCCACATAGTTGACCACAGTTTAAGTCCTAAACCTAGTGGCTTAAAACTCACACCGGGTGCAAGTGTGTGCATGCCAAAAAATCCCAAGAGGAGAATGGAGGAGGAGGAATTGCAGGATGGGGGGATGTGATTTCTTGCTTTTTGTTTCTCTGTCTCTCCTGTGAGCAGACACACCCTATAGCAAAACTCTGTCTAAACAAACAAACAAACAAACCAGTTGGACATATAAAATAATTAGAATCTGCCTAGAACATAGTATCTCCTTCATTAGTATTAGAGAGAAGTTTCCCTTCAGCAGTTCTAGATTTTAGAACTTCTTTAATATGCTTTTTAAATTCTGAAGAGAACATACAAATGTCTATTGGTTTAGTACATAAAACCTAAAAATCATAATGATCATTTATCACATATTACTTATTACAAAAAACACCATCCTAAGTGTAGTCTTGTAGTCTCAACCGTGTTTAAACTCTTGCTATAGAGATAGAGTAGCTTAATCTCAAGACTTAAACACCTTATTTAACCCCCATCCTTCATATTTTAGCCTCAATGAGGCTAATAGAAATGTTTGAGTTCTGTTACTGCAAAGTTGGCATAATCAGAGACTTGTGCCAAGAACACACTCCATAGACCAATCTGATCATGTACCCTGTAGGAAGCCTCTGCCCTAACACAGCATACTGTTTCATTAATTAACACCTAAAAATTACATAATCAACACAAGGAAATATAATTTATGCTTTCTGTTCAAGTAAGTAAGTTTATAAATTTAAACACACATTTGTATAGTGAGATGCTATTATTTATATTAAGCTGTAATTACATCAATTTTTTTTCTTTTTGAAAGAAGAAGCTTGTTTGTGTATGAGAGAGAGAGAGAAAGAGAGAGAATGAGAGTGAGAGATAAAACATTCCCATCCCTCTCCCACTGGAGCCTGGTCCTTTTTTTTCTAATTCTCCATTCCATCAGGATTCTGGCATAAACCACACATGCTATATGTTTTTCAAGCCTGCTCTCAAACTCTGGTTTAGACATGGGATCTGATTTCCTCTGCAGAGTACCCAACCACTGCACAATAGGTCCTGCCCCTGTGTCAGTTCTGATGATCCCCAAAGAATAAATATGACAGGCGATGTTGTAAATTTATTTCAGAGCTTTTGGATGTTTATTTCAAACACTGAGGAAGACTGAGGGGGTGAAGCCCACTCTTTTAGAAATGGAAATGCCATCTTAAATAAGTTATGGCTCTCTTGAGTCTATGTTCTATTGGGAGTGAAAGAAAAATAGAGAGAAATTATAATAAAACATACTGTGACTTTTAGCACCCGGATGAAAACAGGTTAAAATGGAGTAAAGATAAAGGATAAAGATAGATTATACTGCCTAGGGCTCCAGGGCAGACTCACAGTTAGAGATGAGACCTGAATGAGTTTTGAAGGTTGAGTAAGTGGACAGGAAAGGGTGGGAGGATGAGCAAAATCATTCAGGTGAAACAATATTCACTGTTCAGAAAATCCATAAGTGGTTTGTGACAACCGGAGCACGAAGAACAAAGCAGGAAGTTGTGAAAAGTGAGACTGGGGAATTAACTTTGACTTCAGAAATTAATCATCTTTTTGCAGAGTCTAAAAAGTTTGACAATCAGAAAGTTTTTTTTGTTTGTTTGTTTTTTTAATCTGAAAATATATAACTGGTTAAAGAACCTACTAGAAAAAAGCAACATTTAGAAAGTTTCTTATAATAATGAGACCAGCAGATGGCGTTGTGGTCGTGTCACTGGACTCCCATGTGGTAGACCTCAGTTTGAGTCACAGACCCAACAGCTTAAAACTCACACCAGGTGTGCGTGCATGCGTATCCAAGCTCCTGAGAGGGGAATGGAGGAGAAGGGATTGCAGTGTGACCATCCCCCAGGGGGTGATTTCTAGTTTTCTGTCTGTCTCTTTCTGTCTCTCCAGCCAGCACACATGCCCTAGAGCAAAACAATTTCTCAACAAAAAGAAAAGAAAATTTCTTTAATAATGACAACCTATAAAGTTATTTTGAGTTATGTATCAAGTTTTAAACAATAAAGTTTGATAATCAACGCAGCAGCTTACAAAAGTGATTGTAACAAAAATCAACTCCTGTTAGTTAGTAAATGTTTCCTAATGATGCATCATCATCATTTTTCCAACTGGTAAATTCCAAATGGAAAAAACCCAGAAGTCTCTAGTTACATAAATCATGTTTTCTTTTCACTTGCAGGGTGTGAGTACATAAGTGCTTGAATTCACTGTGGTTCGATAGTCATCTGAGTAGGTGTCCATCCGTATGTCTGTCCCAGTGTATGCTTCTCATCCTTCTCCAGAGAGAGTATCTGACCTATTTTCCCTGCAATAATCATGTTGGAGCAAGACGACTTCCCTTTTGGGGTTATTAGAATGAATCAGCTATTGACATAGATAGTAACTTTCTCCTTAAATATTTCTTCATGGATGTAAGAGGAGAAAATAAAATGCAAACAAAACATTTATTTAATAGAATGGATTTAGACAGGGGTAAAGTAAGAAAAAAATGAATGTAAAATCCTATCATCCTCTCCTAGATAAATAGAACATGAATATATAATGTAATTCTAGAGAGTGAGTAAATTAATTTGGCTAAAATGTATTAAGTAAGTATTAATGTTAGCTCACATTATGAAGAAGCAAAAGCCAACAAGCCAGTCTTTGCCTTCAAGGAGTTTTAAAGCTGGACCAGATAAAGCCCCAGATACAATAATTCTCCCTTATCTGCAATTTTGATTTCTGTGTTTTCAGTTACCTCTCATAGAGCACAAAAAGTGTTTTTTTGTTGTTGTTTTTAATTGCTATATGGCATGTGTTTTCACTGGAGAGAGACACAGAGAGAGATGGAAAGTGAAAAAACATCCCCTGGGGGAAACGCTATGCTGTAATCCCTTTTCCTCTATTCTCCCTTCAGGATTTTGGTCACACACGCCCAGAGTGTTTTCTAAGCTGCCAGGTCTGGGACTTGAACCACGCCATGTGGGATCCAGTTGCCTTAACCACTATGGCACCAGCTGGCTCACAATAAGATATTCTGAGGAGGAGAGACAAGAGAGAGAGAGAAAGAGAGAGACCATAAATGTATAACTTTTATTACTTATGATCTGTTACTTATAAGTAATAATTGTTCTCTTTTATTGTTAGTTTTTGTTGTTCATTTCTTATGGTGCCTAATTTAATATTAAATTTTATCATAGGTATGCATGTATGTATAGAAAATTAGTATATGTAGGGTTTCATACTATCTGTGGTTTCAGGCATCCATTGTGGGATTATCCAATATCCTCATATCATATCCAATCTGAGAATATTAGAATGAGTCCTCCACAGAAAAGGGGTAGGGGCTACTGTCATCATGTCATTATAATACAAAGAAAATATATGGCATTCTATATGAATATCATATCCAATCTGAGAATATTAGAATGAGTCCTCCACAGAAAAGGGGTAGGGGCTACTGTCATCATAATACAAAGAAAATATATTGCAATCTATATGAGAGGTAAAATGGGTTGTCATGGCTTTAAATAATAAAGAAATCACCCTGAGGAAGACAGTTGGTGTTGGAGGTGAACCTTTCAGGGGTAGTGTAAGAGGTAAGGATTTAGAAAGTTGAGGGGGACCTCACAGGCAAGTACATGAGTTAAGAAAGGCATGGGGGAGGGGAGAAATA